TGATTCTGCCACTATACTCCAGTCTGGGTGACCAAGTGAGACCCCAACTAAAAACAAAACAAAACCAGATAGAATCCTTACGTCAATGAAGAATAAGAGCAAACAAGCAAAGGAAAGTGCCAAATAACGTGGGTCCGATTCAGAGACAGTCCAATGAGCTTAGGAGTTGACTTTGCCACCTGATCACTGAGGCCTGTGGTTCTGGCTGGCAAACTAGCAATTAAGAAATGGGGGGAAACCCAAAAGCTAAAAATGTAAGTCATGATCTTCTACAAATCTTTGGGTTTTCTTTTTCTGATTTGTAAAATGAGAGCAATCGTGTGACTGTCAAACCTTTTTATTTGTTTTTAAGATGTGAAACCTTTCAAAAGCCCAATGTGTAACAAAAGATAATCAGTGTGATCTGGCTGGAGTAGCTATAATCATGACAGTACAGTAGTGAAAAGCAGCAAGCACTTCCATGTCCCTGACACTGCTAAGAGACCCCCACTGGTCATTGCACTTAAGCCTCAAGACTCCAAGGCTATCTAAAATGGTATGATTGTTGATGTTGCACTATAACTACACCCATCGCCTTATATTCTGGCAGTGCTTTTCACTTAAGATTACTTGTAAATCATTCATAAAAATTTTCAGTCTTTCAACATTTCATGTGGAAGAATAGCATTAAAAATGCTAAAAACCAATGGCTTCTATAACTTAAATCCAGCCAACAGTATAAAAAGAAGAAAATTATACCAACTTGACTATACTGTAGACACTGACTGTGGATAAAAATAATTTTTAAATATCAGTATAACAGATTTTGAAGGGAGGTTTCTTAAAAAACCCTACAGGGAAGGATGATTTATGGTAACAGATCTATATACCATTTCTCACTGGGTCTTGTAATTGAAGATGACCACATCTCAGTAATTACATGGCAATACTTAAAGTGAGTTCACTGAAAAGACAACACCTGTAAAAGCTAAGCCATTTACTTCATTCCCTAAACATCCTAACAGATGTTTTGGACGAATGATGACCTCTAAGACAGTTACTAATGTCACCTCATTCTTTCCCTTGTATTCAGATATGCTTTCTGGAGAGGGAGAGTTAGCCAGTAGGTATTACAGCCAACAGGTAAGACATAGGCATGGGTAATCAAAGCTATCACAATTTATCTTGTATGCTGGGGCAGAAAAAACTTTGAGCAGTGTTGCGGTAGATAACACAACAGACATCCCCGTACACTTTTTTCCATGCAACTTTTTCCTTCTTTTATTCCTATGTTCTCTTTGCATGCTTTCAAGAAATCATGGGAAGAAATAAAACAATCAACAATAAAGCCCAAGGACCAAAGTGCTGGCTTCACTGCTAAAAATGTTAAATGAGAGGAAAGTGACTGGCAGCTCTGAGACATTTTCAACCCATGGGATGTTTGGACAATGTCCTGTGGCCACAAAATGCTGCAGATTCCACCAGTTTCAATCAGCTTCTACTGACCAACTAGGAAGCACTCACGATGCTTCACGATGCAGCATCTGCTCCGCTGTTGCTTCTTAGAGGGCAATGCCATCTCAGTCTGCAGGGAAGTGGGCACTGCCCTGGGAGGTCCATGTCTCCCCTCCTGGCACTGCACCAGGCTCTCAGGAACCGAGTTGAGGCTCTGGTGGTAAATACGAGCTCTACCCATGTGGTATTAGGCAACCACAAAAAAACTATGCCTCTTAAGAGCTCTTAATGGGGAAAACGAAACTGGCAGAATATCAAATTAAACTCTAAGATGTACAATTATTATATAATGTGATTTCAGCCATGTAAAAATGTGTTAGAGAAAATCTGGAAGGAAATACAGAAAAACAGAAACAATTTTTAAAAAAATTTATGATAGGAGTAAGAGTAAAATCTTCCTTTTTGTAGTTTGCTGTATTTCTCAAATTCAAGTGTTTGCTTGTTTGTTTGTTTTACAGTAGGCATGTATTAAAGAAACTGATTTTGGTCAGGTGTGGTGGCTCAAGTCCATAATTCCAGCACTTTGGGAGGATGAGGAGAGAGGATTTCCTGAGCCCAGGTGTTTGAAACCAACCTGGGCAACATGTTGAGACCTCATCTCTACAATAAATCAAAAAATTAGCCAGGCATGGTGGTGTGCACCTGTAGTTCCAGCTACTTGGAAGGCTGAGGCAGAAAGATCACCTGAGCCTAGTAGGTCAAGGCTGCGGTGGTTGTGAGCATGCCGCTGCACTACAGCCTAGGTGATAGAGTGAGAATCCGACTCAAAAAAAAAAAAAGAAAGAAAAAGAAAAAGAAACTGACTTTTCCCTACAATAAAAAAAGGTAAGGGAGGATGTCTGATGATGATGGAAATAGCTACAGTCCTGTCTAATCTATTTCTTAACATCAAACACAATGAAATAAAACTATATGAGAGCACTAGCTTATTCCCTCTAAGTTAATTCTTTTAGAGGATGATTTTCTTAGAGAGGAAAAAAAAGGGTTTTTAGAGAAAAACCCTTAACTTAAGAGGACATATTTCTCATTACTTTATCCAGTCACACTGTACTTTGTGTATGGAATATGACTTTAAATGTAATGACAATGAACTTTGAAAACAAACAAAATAATAGGGTCTTGAGATTAAAATGACTTTAATTAGGGCAACCTAAATTAGTATTTCCCTCAAAGTAGTCGCTTAAGGAAACCATTCATCCTCCTATTGGTATTGCCATTTCTAAAAATATTTTTGGAACTCTCTGTGGAACTGCTCAGGAAAATCACTCTGTTACTTCAATCACTCCCTATTTTTGACCAAAAATGGTTTTACCAGTTTGACACATCATTTACCTGACTTGACTTCAAGTGGCTCTTGGCTTGTCCTAAAAATACCTATTCTCAACAGATATAAAGATTCCAAACCACTGCAATTTTTTAAAAGTTAAAACAATTTTGAAACAAGTTTCTGATCCTATTTTGAGTAATAATAGCATTCTTGGAATACCTGACTGATCCTCCAAGATGACTACTCTGAAGAGTCCAATTTGGTGAGGAGAAGGAAAGGGATCCATTACAGATTCACGAAAAGTCCTTACTGGGCACAGTGGATCACATCTGTAATCCCAGCATTTGAAGAGGCCAAGGCAGGAGGATTGCTTTAGGCCAGGAATTCAAGGTCAACCCGGGCAACATAGTAAGACCCTGTCTCTCTAAAAACAACAAACAAACAAAACTAGCCAGGTGTGGTGATTCACACCTGTAAAAATGTGTTAGAGAAAATCTGGAAGGAAATACAGAAAAATAGAAACAATTTTTTAAAAAATTTATTATAGGAGTAAGAGTACCAGTTATCTTCCTTTTTATCTTCCTTTTTAGAGTTTGCTGTATTTCTCCTAGCTGCTCTGGAGGTGCCCTTGAGCCCAGGAGTTCAAGGCTGCAGTGAGCTATAATCGTGCCACTGTACTCCAGCCTAGACAACAGAAGAAGAGCCTCTCTCTCAAAAATAAAAACAAAATTAAAAAATAAAAAGTCTATATAAAGACTATGGAGTTAGGCTGATTTTGTAGTCCGGTAAAAACTAACAAAAACCTATCAGAAGCTGAAGTTTTTCAAGTGGGGTAGAGAAATAAAAAGCCATCAACGGTTGCTTTGGTTCTTTGGGGTGCCCAGTAGGGGCAGAATCCCAGGCTGGAGACCACAGAGGTTCCTTCCTATAAGACAATGTTTATATAACTTAGAACAACACTACCTTTTTGTCAACACTGGCTTCACAATAGAATTGAATCACCTGTGGACATTTTTACACACCAGTTGGCTGGGCTTGGTTGCTCAGCCTGTAATCCCAGTACTTTGGGAGGCCTAGGCAAGTGGATTGCCTGACCCCAAGGGTTTGAAACCAGCCTGGGCAACTTGGCAAGACCTCGTCTCTACAATAAATCAAGAAATTAGCTGAGCATGATAGCATGCGCCTGTAGTTCTAGCTACTTGGAAGGCTGAGGCGGAATGATCGCTGGAGCCCAGGAGGTCAACACTGGGGTGGCCTTGAGTGTGCCACTGCACTCCAGCCTGGGCAACAGAGTGAGACTCCCAACTCAAACAAACAAACAAACAAAAAATCCACCAGTTGACTGGCAACCTCTAGACAATGAAATCTGAATCTCAGAGGGTAGATTTTAGGTATATATGTGTGTGGGGATAGGTATGTGTATGTTGTTTATTCTTTCCTTTTCTTTTCTTTTGAGTCAATCTCACTCTGTCAACCAGACCCAGGCTGGAGTGAGGTGGCACAATCATGGCTCACTGCAGCCTCCACCTCCTGGGCTCAGAAGATCCTTCCTCTTTAGCCTGCTGCATAACTGGGACTATAGGCACCTGGCACCATGCCTAGTTAATTTGGGGGTTTTTTGTAGAGATGAGGATTTGCTGTGTTGCCCAGGCTGATCTCAAACTCCTGGGCTCAAGCAATCCTCCCACCTCAGCCTCCCAAAGTGCTGGGATTACAGGCATGAACCACCACACCTGGCTCTGTATGTTCTTTTGTTTTCCATTCTTCTCTTCCTTCCTCCCTTGCTTCAAGTTCCCAAGTGACCCTGAAGAACAGTAAGGACTGAGAATCATAGGCAGCTGGTCTAGATGAAGATCATGGCTCTGTCCATAAAGTGTACCTCAGCTAGGTGATGAACTGAGCTCCTAAATAACTCACTCCATTCATTACCTCACACTACGATACATGAAAACAAACATCAGGGAATACTGCTTGGTCTATACATACAATCTTAGAAAATACTCTGAAAATGGGGATAAGAAGCATATAGTCTGTAGTTGACTAACCCCATGTTGATAAAAACATACTTATAAAGGCACAAATGATGAAAACTGTGTCTCAGTCCAGTCATTAGAGGTGATTCTCTTTTCACCTTTTGTTGTATCTGTGGACTCTAAATTTTCCACAATGAATATGTATCATTTTTGTGATACCTACTCTTGTGCCAGCCTGCTGACTTAAGAGATTAAAAACCACATACCAGTAGTATCTTGGGCTGTCACATCCACACCATGTGTAACCATCACCCTGAGGCATTCCACGTGTCCTTTTGCAGCAGCAAGATGAAAACTAGAAAGAAAGGTAAACAAAATCTCTTAAGATTTCCACTCTTCATTCAGCATTTGTCTCTGACAACTTTTATTTTCCAATTCATGTACACTTTCTCTCATTTGAGCTCCACAAGCACCCATTGAGTAGGCATTACTATCAATCTCATTTTAAAGAGGAGGAAATGGAAGCTCACTCAGTATGACCTGCTAATTTTCTCATTGATGACTTTTATTAAGTGATGGAAGAGGAGCTTGATTTTAGGTCTTCTACTCAGAGACTAGGCTTGAAAAAAAATTCAGCCATATACTTGTTGCTTTATGAAACAAGTCAAGAGCCCCTACTAGATTCAATTTCTAAGTAATAAGTCTTTATCAATTTTTTTTCTGCTGTCTAGTGCTTTCCCCAAATCCATCATTTTAATGTAATATACTCTAAAAAGAGGAACTAGTATAAGTCAAACGGTGGTCAAGGTTCTTGGACAGTTCAATGCAAAATCTGCTATTATGTTGTAGCTAAACAACAGTTGCAAGCAACAGTTGTCAAGTGTCTAATGTGTGTCAATCATCATACTTTTATACATTACACTTTCATACATTATACACTTTTATACATTATACACTTTTATACATTATATGCTTTTTTTATACATTATACACTTTTATACATTATCTTTCATTCCCATAACAGTCTTTTTTTTTTTTTTTGAGTTGGAGTCTCACTCCGTCACCCAGACTGGAGTACAGTGGCCACTCCTGGCCACCGTAGCCTCGACCTGCTGGGCTCTGGCGATCCTTCTGCCTCAGCCTTCTGAGTAGCCAGAATTACAGGTGCGCGCTACCACGCCCGGCTAATTTTTTGATTTATTGCAGAGATGAGGTCTCGCTGCCCAGGCGGGTCTCAAACCCGCGGGCTCAGGCAATCCGCTCACCTCAGCCTCCCAAAGGCGTGGGATTACAGGCTGAGCCACCGAGCCCGGCTCCATAACAGTCTTTTAAGGAGAATCCTATTGCTGTCTCCATTAGATGGTGGGTGTCTACACTCCAGTGCAAACAGCATTAGAGAAAGCCCACAGTTAGGCTCCAGAACTCAATGACACTTGGGAACACAAACCCCACTCAACATGTTTAGACTGGTTATTAAAAGAAGGGGTAACATTCAAATACCACATCAATCATCCCTGCAGGTCTTGGGGGTGAAGGGCACTTTTATAGACGGAAAGAAGCAAAGCACAATTCCACTGGGCCTGAGGTCAGGCCTAGATGCCAAGATGGCCAAAAACTTTGAAAAGGTCTCATCCCCTCCTCTCAGTCTCCTTCCTGTAGAGAGGTGAATGAGTCCTCCAGTTCTTCTTCTTTGTCTGTCCCATTTTAGGGAATTGCCCCCAAGATACTTCCCACATAGCACCTTGGTGTCTGTACCTCTGAATTAATGCCCAGGCAATATTTTCTCATTGGGTAGAATCTGCTACTGAAGCCCAGGGACACACCCAACTGGCAAACCCAAGAGCTAATATTTGAACCCAAGTTGGTCTGATTTCAGACCTCTGTTCTTAATAATTTGACTGAGGGAAGAAGACAAATAATCAAATGGAAAAACTTCAGTTCTAGTTGCAAATCAGCCATCACTTAATTATCTGTGTTTTTTGAGGAAGTCATTTTAACCTCTCTGTGTTTACATTTACTCCATTGTAAAGGGTGGGGATTGAGTCAAATAATTTCTCATGTTTCCTCTGGCGCTAATGTTGTATTATTTTAGCCAACCTAGCTCTGATCACTCCAACTACTTCTGTATTTCTGTACCAATCTATGTGTAATGTTTGTTTACAGTCAAAGTAACTTTGTAGGTGATTTCACATTACAGTAAAACTTTGATTACAAGGAATGATTTGGGAATGTGGTGACCTGTTTACATGGAATTCCTGATTCACTACAGCTTAACCAAAAGAACCTCCCTAAAAGGCAACATAATAATACCTCAGTTCTTCAGCATTCTTTGGGTAGCTTAATCTTACAATAATTTCACTTTTGAGCAGTAAATCTTTTATTAATCTTGGTAAATGATTCTAAGTTCTCCAGACTCAATAACAGTATATGTAACATAATTCATCATTCTTGGGGATATGGAATCACCACTAAGAGCCTCAATTACAGAACTCTACTTTAAGGGAAACTCATAGAAATGCCCTTAGATCACTAAGCCCTGAAATTGATTAATATTTATCTTCTTTCCTGATTGTCTGTATGTTTGTTTCTAAGCTGTTCGCTCTGCTGTCCCCTATGACAAAGGGAGAACTAAATCAAAAGAATCTAAACAAGAGGGGAGCCATAGCCTATTCTAAAGATAAATGTCCAGGAATAAAGTGATTTATACATCCATGCATGCACACACACACTCAAAGTCTATATTTAACTTTATATTGAAGTATAGCATATGTAAAGAAAACTATACATATAATTGTATAGGTTGCTAAATCTTCACAAATGAAACATTTTACCTTTACTAATCAAGATACAGAATGTGTTCAGATACCCCCCAAGCCCTCCTCACAGCTCCTGCTAGCACCCCAGAAGTTCTTCATGTGTACCTTCTAGTTACTAAACCCCTCCCCATGTGATATTGATATTTTTTCTGCTCAAAGGCTTCTTGGATTGCCTCTAGACTGCATACTCTATTTATGGGTGGTTGGAATTGCAGACCACCTAATAGTGAGACATTAGTGTACGCCACTCCTATATGTTGGTAAATGCAGTCTGAAGAATGTGAAGCGATATCCTATGCGTGACTTGGGAATTGTAGTGTTTCAGGATCATTCCTTGGAAGGTCCATGCTCATTACAAGGCAGGAGAAGTGAGGTGTTAGGAAGCTGGGCTCGATTTCTAACCCACAGTAGAAATTTTCTTAGACATTGCTTTTTAAAAGAAAACCCCTGATATCAACCTAAATTGATCTTTGACGGCTGTAACATATTTTGTTGAGAGATCCAGTTTCACAAATTGTGTGTGTGTGTGTGTGTGTGTGTGTGTGTGTGTGTGTGTGTGTGTGTGTGTGTGTGAAGAGAGAGCAAGAAAGATCTGTATTTTGCCCTGCCTCTCCCATTAAGTGTTTAGCTCAGATAGTGACTTTTTTCTCTATTCTAGGGACTTTCCAACTATTCTCCTGCAGAATTCTTGTGTCCTGCTGAGAAAATAGGATAATGATAGTCTTTTCCCAATTCATTATTTTCTCCTCATATATTTTACCTTAAGCTCCAGCACTTCTGCTCTTACAGTTAAAATTAACAAAGTACCAATAATTAGAAAAAAACCAGTTCATTATATAAGGACAAATATGCTTGTGATTTTACACTGCATGCCTCTAATAACATGTTTGGTTAGTAAAACCATTCTGATTTCATGTGATCTAATTAAAGATATTGTTTCAAGGTGTTTCTCTAAGAAGACTCTCATTTCCAGGTGTTTGATGTGTTCTGATGTCACACAAAAGCTGCTGCTCTACTTTTTGAGACACACAGGCATAGGGAGAAGTCTGAAAAGCAGGAATGGAAAAAGATGGTCATTTTAGCTATAAGTTTCCGATTCCTTTCTTGAGATAGACAAGATCTCCACTATGTATCATTATTCCTCTCCCTGAGTATGCACAGTTCCTGAGTCTGCTCTTGGAGAAAACATTCACTAAGGCTGATCTTCCAGGTCTCGCTGCCCATCCAGGTCTGCCCTCTGCCTTTAGCTCAGGAGGTGGTTCTCTCACCGGCTCCATTCCATGGGCTGCCTTGTCCTTTGGCTTCTGGTTGTGTTGGGCCAATGGGAGGTGCTTACAAGAAACAGGAGAAAAGGAGGAAAGAGTTCAGGGCATCATCTCTTTCACTCTGTCCCTTCCAGGCCACATGTTGGCAGTGGCTGCCTTCCTCTGTGAGGGCCACAGCTCTCCAGGTTGGCTGTCCCACAGCTACAGCTACAGCTTGCTCTAGGTTTTGGTAACTTCTTTCCCTCCTTGCCCCTTCAGACTGAGTAGAAATAGGTTTCCACTGTACTGTAACTAGTCCAGAGCTGTATTCCCAATCTTGCTGGTTTCCCTTAAGCCAGTCACACGTTTGTAAATAGTTCCTTTCTTAAACTCTCATCAATTATCCTATTTGAGGGTGCTATCTATTTCCTGCTGAGACCCAGAATGGCACCAGGGCTGTGTATTTTGTGTGTGATCATCTACAGGATGAACCGTTAGGTTCCAGTGTATGTTATTGGTCAAATATTTGTAAAGGCCAATTCAGCGTTTTAAAAAAATGTTTTAATTGCCATATTTAATTGGGTTGCTTATTTGGGCTAAAAATGCTGTAACAGGAGAATATAACTTCAATTTTATAGCATATAAGTGACTTCTCAAAAAGTGTTCTAATATGGCCTTAGGCCAAAGTAGAGATCTGTTTAAAGGGTTCAAGAATACACCTCTTCAAGGATAAGAAAAACAAGCAACTTAAATGAAAGCCAGCACAGTCCAGAATCTCCCACCATGCAATGAAGAAATGCTAAAATTTAGATTTTATGCTGTAGGTTTGGTTTTGAGAGAATAAGCAACATCCTCTCAATCACACATATGGGTTCCCCCACACACAAGAATGCACAGACAGCTACAACAAAACCAAAATTAAAACAAACAAACAAACCTCATACACACCTTATCAACCCAAGAGTCCCTCAAATTTATAGAACATGATCAAGACTCTCAGAAAATATAAAACCGTATCAGCTCCTGAACCCTCCCACCATGCTGAGGCTTCATGCATTCTACTTGATGCATACTAATGGAGTTGTTTAATTTTATCAAAATCATGACAGATTACTCATTAAAGTACATGCTAGAATGGTGGTCTAAAATTGGGAAATTCATTATAAATTCTATGGGCATATTCTGTAGAATAATAAAAGTTCTTCAGTAATTAATTAGAAGTAAAAAGGATTTACTAAAATCTCCTCTACTATATACTGTATTTATGTACATACACTATATATGTTTTATATATA